TGTCTATCTATTTTTTTCTCTCTCTCTCTCTCTCTCTCTCTCCCTCTCTCTCTCTCTCTCTTTCTCTCTCCATAGCAAATCACCTTTAAGTCTGGTGTTTCGTTAAGAGAAACGAGGTTATAAGGGATGGTGCAGTATCAGCCTCGGAAATGGCTTACTAATGCCATAAGAAAATGCAAAGCAATTAGAAGGTGGAAAAGCAAATTAGTACTTTTTAAATAACATAACACATACGAGGTTTAGAGCTCTTTGCCTGTTTACAGAATATGGTAACAATGAGTGGGATATACAAACCACGACACACCTTAATACAATATATTACTTCATACAAAGACAGATAAACTTAATAATGATATTATTCTGTTGTTTCAGCTTTCTACCCAATAATGGGGTCAACGGGTGCTGGGCTGATTCCCCCAAAAGTCTCCAGAACTTTGCGTGATAAGTCAACGACATAGGGCTTTGCCCAAAGTCTTGACTCTGAGTCAGAATTGATGAGAAGATAGTTAGGTGTTGCTGAGCTGTACTGGCTCCACGTCGCTCCACCAGTGGGCACTGTTGACGTTGGGTTCCCAGTCTTGGCAAAGTTGGTCCACCTTTCCATTATCTGTTGAGATACCAGAATGTCGTCAGCATCAGGTGGACCATTTCCTGTGTCGGTGAACCTTTTCTGCTGAACGTCAAACAGGTAAAAGATCTCCTGTCCATGCACAGCTGACATCCACTGAGGTAGTTTACTGAAGCTTGGTCTGTGGTTGAACTGGTACAAATAATGTTTCTTGTCTGTGACACTGCGTACGACATAGTTCAGCTCCATTATTGTTGGACCCACGTATGTATAAGTAGTAATTGCATTCAAGGCTTCTCTTTGCAGGACATCACTGCTTGAGGTATTTGTCAAAAACTTTGATTGAAATACTTTAAGAAGCTTTCCTTGATCTAATTTGGTAAATTGTGTCATCTGACGAACAATGACATGCTTTGCCACTTCCGCTGTGACTGGTATGGGTGGATTCTTTAAAAACCTGGGATCGTATATCCCCATGTCGTCACTGTTGAAACCCCTTAGAGTGTCTACGTGGTTGATTTGTCCCCTAGAGAGAAGCGTTGCTGGAAACTCAGGCATGAAGCCAAAAGTTGTTTCAACTCTAGGAGCAAACACTTTCTGTCGAGGTTCTAAAATGTTTGCTAAGTCGAGGGAAATGTTCAGCAACTTATTTGCATCGACCTTTTGTAGGCAAGAAAAGAATGTGGTTGAGTTATCCAAATCGCCACACTGAGCAGCTTGACCAACCAACCTGCTTGCCATGCGATGAGACAGCCGATTTCCTGGGTATATGAAAGCCCAGGTAGTGAGAGAAACACCACTCTCCATGATCGCTCTCTTGAAAAGACCTTTGGCTAGCGGTGACAGAGTGAGGAGAGAGGCACTAGCTGACCCAGCACTTTGTCCAATAATAGTCACCAAGTTGGGGTCACCTCCAAAAGAAGCAATGTTGTCCTTTATCCACTTAAGTGCAGCAATTTGATCCAACATCCCATAGTTCCCTGGCATTGTGTCGTCTTCAGTTGACAAGAACCCAAAAATATTCAGTCTATAGTTTATGGTCACCAGAACTACTCCTTTAGTTGCCAAATCGGTAACATCGTACCAAGACCCTGCCCCGTAGTAGTACCCTCCGCCATGGATCCACACCATCACAGGCAGCAAGTCCTGGACATTTCTCTGTGTGGGCGAGTACACGTTTAGGGACAGACAGTCCTCACTTCTTTTAGGAGGCATGTCTCCAGCACGGAACGGGAAATTAGGTGACAGTTTTTGTAAGCACTCGTCCCCAAACGTAAGAGCGTCTCTGACTCCATCCCAGCTGTCCGGACTTACAGGAGCTTTGAAGCGTAGCGGTCCTGAAAGACATGACAGGGGAGGATATGCTAGCATTATAAGGAGAATAAGGTGTGCATATGAACTTTTAAGTTTCACTTGTTACCTTACAGTTGACAAAACTAATTTAATCCTCCTTGGGTATTGAGTGGTTAATTTAATCTCATAATGTATGAGACGTGCTAAGAAAATGAGTTACTTCTCGTTAATAGCCCTGTAGAAATAGATATGTTGAATTGATAGGCGGAGTTTTTACAATTCGTTAGTAGGAAATAATAAAAGACATGGTAAACTTGAAGAAAATGACATCAGTTGAAAGTCTACAAATTTACTCTGTTGTTGATTTTCTGCTGATATCTCCATTTTTGAATTGCGAGAAGTAAATCATTTTGTCAGCACGTCCCGTGTTTGTAAGACACTCAAATTCAAACTCAAGCTTTTAGTAGGTCGTTAAAGACCATACAGTTGTAACTATGACGTTTAGGGCTCGATATTTGTCTACACAATCAACCAAGTAATGAGTGACAAGATGACTTTCCGCAAGACTTTCAGTTTCAATTTAGTTTTATGCCGAGATTATCCTAAATGTCTGCAGTCTTATGGCAAAAAACTATATTTGTAGTTAGGTCAAGCAGTGTTTTATTACAGGGGAGAAAGCCTTTTTATGGCGTGTCTTTCTATCTTGGTTTTATAGCTACACTAATAAAATTAAGGAACTTTTAGGACTTTGAAAATATGCGTTTTGACCAACTTACATATCGATATAGTTATGACTAAAGAACTTTTGATCAATTACTCCATAACTTGTTGCTTTATACCTGAGCAAATCAAACAAAAGTTAGACCAGCCAGTGAAAGTGTTGACATAGGATAATATAATAATAATTTAGTTAATTTGAAACACACACAAAAAGTTAGCTTTTTGCCTCACTTGTAAAATTTCATTGTTGGCATAGATCTATACGCTTTTCCATCTTAAAACAGCAGATGTAAACTGAAACTTATTCATAACTTGTTTAGAAGTGTAGCGACATTTTCATATATTGTTCACTGAATTCTCAAAGGCCGAACATCCCTCCTCCTTTCAGAATGAAGTCGTGGATGAATCGACGAACGACAAAATAATACTGAGGATTTGCTTCCAAAAGGTCAAGTTGGTGTCAAAATGTTTCAACTTTTTTCATGACTTGTAACTCATTCACCCAAAGTTATTGATCTGATTAAATGTATTTACAAAGGACAAAAATTGGGTGTAAAGCTTGAATGTGGAACATCAGAATGGATCCGTGGTGCAAAAATCGTTGAATATAGATGCATTATCACCACAACGTTTCTTTCTGCATAATATTCTCGGGGGGGGGGGGGGGGGGGGGGGGGGGGATGCATGAGGTAGAAGATTACTTAAAAAGGGGGGTGAATGTGGTGAATGAGGGAAACAAGGATTACTTACAAGAGACTTTAAAATTGTAGTAGGAATACAAATGTAGACTGAAACGTAGCGAGCGAGAGACAGAGAGAGAGAAAATTGAGAGGAAGAGAGCAATCCACTCAGACAGACAGACAGACAGACAGACAGACAGACAGACAGACAGACAGACAGACAGACTAATTCATTGCAAGTGTTTCAGGCCCCGGTCTATACAATTTAGGTCAACTAGGCAGAGCTTTTTTCCGCTCCTCTCACTGAGAGTCAAACTAGATTGAGTGGGACACAGTATCCAGACAGAGAGAAAGAGATACTCGATAAAAACAAGAGATAGAAAGAGAGAGAGAGAGAGAGAGAGAGAGAGAGAGAGAGAGAGAGAGAGAGAGAGAGAGAGAGCAAACAGAGAGGCAGATAGTCGGATAGACAAAGTAGATTGAGTGGGACTCAGTATCCCAACACACAGAAGGAGATACTCATTAAAATAAAAGAAACATCTACACTACAGACCCCATGAGAAAGAGAGGTTGAGAGAGAGAAAGAGAAAGAGACAGAGAAAGAAAGAGAGAGAAAGAGAGAGAGAGAGAGAGAGAGAGAGAGAGAGAGAGACGGAGAGAGACGGAGAGGAGAGAGAGACGGAGAGGAGAGAGAGAGAAAGACGGCGAGGGAGAAGGAAACAGAGACAGAGAGAGAGAAAGGGAGAGAGAGAAAGAGAGAGATAAAGAGAGACACAGAGAGAGATAGAGAAAGAGAGAAAGAGAAAAAGAGAGACAGAAGACAGAGACACAGAGAAAGAGAGAGGGACAAACAGAATGAGAGAGAGAAAGAAAGAGGGATAAAGAGAGAGAGACATAGAAAGAGAGAGAGAAAGAGAGGGAGAGCAGACAGAGAGGCAGACAGTCGGATAGACAAACAGACACAAAGAGAGACTAACATCCAGACAAATGAGGGAGTCAAAGTTAGAGAAGCAGACTGGCAGAGAGCAGACAGGACAAAAATGGAGTCTCACCTGTTGGAGGTTTAGCATAAGGAATGCCCAAGAACTTGGCCACAGGAACTGAAGGTGTAGAATCCACCTTTCCCCTGAGAGTGCCGTAGCTGGTGTTGACCATGAGGAACCCGTCATCAGCCGCTCTTTGTCCTCTGTGGAGACAGCTAGCGCCCAGTGCTGAGGTGAAGAGGACCTGGAGCAACCAGATTGCCGCCATTTTGACCGTTAGCTAGATAGCCGTGTGCGCTATGCAATGGCTGACTCTATACCCGTCCCCTTATAATAATACATATTAGCTGACTCATTTTAAAGAGCAGTGGGTTCCTACTTTCTTATCCTTTATCACGATAACATTTCAACAAATGTTTCAAGTAGCCCTGAGGTCCCCCGACACACCTCGTATATATTTGCAAACGTTTAGCAGAGAGAGGTGAGAGGTCAATATCTTCAACACACCTTGATATCTCTCTAGCAACATACTGGCTTACATACTATTTGGCCGCTTTTAAGCACAGGGGGCTGTCCGGAAAAAAATGCTGTTTTGGTTTAATCGAAGGTGAAGTTTTTGCATCGTGTTCAGTTTCTTTAAAAGACAAGCAGAGTTTTCTCTAATTTAACCAAACAAATATACACACGAATGAAAGAAAACTCTCCTTTAGGGGGCAATGCCCACTTTTGGTGTAGGTCAAGATTAAAATTTATGAAAACTCCCGCAATCTAGGTTAGCCCGCTTGTCCTTAAAAGCGACCATTTCTGTCTTGCTGTTTGGTCAGGCATCGAGCACACTACAAAAGTGTGCAGTCGTTGCTCGGTGGGAAATCATGACATCACATGACAGTGGAGAGCTCTGGACGGGTAAGAACTGCCTCATTTGCATACTTACAGCTGTGAGAAAGGTGGGCATTTTGATTGTGTGCTCGGGGTCTTGGGGAAAAAATTTATCTCAGAATAAACACTCAGACTTTTTTTCGGTTGGGGGAGGGGGGACTTGGCCACAGGAACTGAAGGTGTAGAATCCATCTTTCCCCTGAGAGTGCCGTAGCTGGTGTTGACCATGAGGAACCCGTCATCAGCCGCTCTTTGTCCTCTGTGGAGACAGCTAGCGCCCAGTGCTGAGGTGAAGAGGACCTGGAGCAGCCAGATTACCGACATTTTGATTGATGGCTAGATACTCTACCGTGCACTCATTTGCATTGCTGTCCGTTGATTTTATTATCTCTCTCTCTCTCTCTCTCTCTCTCTCTCTCTCTCTCTCTCTCTCTCTCTCTCTCTCTCTCCCTCTCTCTCTCTCTCTCTCTCTCTCTCTCTCTCTCTCTCTCTCTCTCTCTCTCTCTCCCTCCCCTCTCTCTCTTTATCTGTGTGCGTGTGTGTGCGCGTGTCTCTGTGTCTCTGTCTCTTTCTCTCTGTCTATCTCTCTATCTCTCTCTCTATCTATCTATCTATCTATCTATCTATCTATCTATCTATCTATATATATATCTATCATCTGTCTATCTATCTATCTATCATCTATCTATCTATCTATCTATCTATCTATCTATCTATCATCTATCTATCTATCTATTTATCTATAAGAGTAACAAGTACCCATTCCCAAGGACAAAGGGTATATTTCTTATCAGAACATTTCATTACCCCCAAACATATTTGATGTAGTCCATAGATCTGTTTACATTATTTTGTACCATTGACTTTCGTTAGAATGGAGGTTAAGGTTTTCAAAAACTGTAACATTGTAACATTGAGTCGAGCAAAGTTCGGGCTATCCCGGATAAGGCCTGTATTTCACTTCTGTAATTCGATTTCAGGTCTGCATTGGGTCTCTTTGTGTTCGCCTGTCGACCCACCTTTTTTTGGTTCCGAACTTTCAAAGTAGGCAGTGGTTGGAGTAAACAGCCAACACACTAACACACCTAAAAAGGAAACCATATAAAAATCCTTTGCTGTTTTGAAAGACCCCTTGCAGATAGAATAACAGGCTTATTTTTAGCTAGAACTGGGCGGTGCCCGTACTTTTGGTCTTTGTCCAAATTCGGTCTAATCTTTTGTATTTCTGAAAAATATTTACCTACAGCCACAGACTCACGTTAGTGTCACTTGCGGGGTTAAGTAAATTTAACATTATGAACATCTGCCTTCTTCTGTGTAAAGACGTTAGACATGTGTGAGGGAGCTCTTGTGGCCTAGGGGTTAAGGTGTTCGCCTCTCATTCAAAAGTCCCGGGTTCGAATCCAGATAGCGACCGAAAAATTTTCTTCTCTAAAATTGTCTCCTTTCACCTCCTTTTCTGCTCTCTAGCAATGATCTGTTGTTTGTTTTCGTCTCCACTTTCTTCCACCACCCCCTCACCTCCTTTGCCCCTTCCTCTGGGCTCCTGGCTCTTTTTGCAGTCTTTCTACTGCTACTCCTTGACTCCTTCTTACAGCTGTCTTTTAGCCACACCCCTGATCTTCTGGAAGGAAAGATCTACACCTAGCCTTCTCGGACAACGGTCACTTGGTGGTCTAAAATCGATGAGAGTAGGCTTCGGCCGCCATTCGGGCAAAATTCAACATTTCCTACCAACTGAAAATGTTTAATGTGTCCCGCGCGCTCATATGACCTTATGCAGTTGCGAGCGCCGAAAAACACTTCCAACTGGAATTTGGTGCCGGAAGTTGTAGCGCTTCCAATCTGTAGTAGCGCCTGAAGCCAAGAGAGAAGCCTGCACTCTCTGCACGTCTACGAGAGAAATTCATAATCCTTTTTATATGCTCAAATTGTGGCCAGCTTTCTCTCTACGAGGATTGGTTTCATTGGCCATAGCAGAAGCTACAAGTCATCTTAACCCTTATTTATTCTGCTACGCTTTGAAAACATTCTCTTAGGCGCTCATATGACCTTACGCAGTTACGAGCGCCGTAAAGCCTCTACTAGAACTAAACTGAAAACATTCTCCTCTACTGATGCATTGGTCATTGCCAGACATTGACAGACAAACTACATTAATATTAATATTGGTATAGTTATTTTTATCTTCCTCATCATCATCATCATCATCATCATCATCATCATATCGGGGCATTTATGTCCCATCGCTTCTGATTGCGCACTTCCCAAAGTCACAATCCGATCTGGCCTCGTTGCCATCAGTCTCCTTGAAAACACGACGAGTACCCACAACGGTATAACCACCTTCTCTGCCGCGACCTTAGAGCATGCATCAAAATAACATTGAGTGTGTATGTAGCTTACGATTATTATTGTTTATATTTCTGTTCATTTATATTATGCATGTGATTATACGCCTATGTGTGGGGGCATGTGTGTGTGTGCGTGTGTACGTGTGTGTGTGTGTGTGTGTGTGTGTGTGTGTGTGTGTGTGTGTGTGTGTGTGTGTGTGTGTGTAGACGTGGTGAACAATGTGCCAGGATCTGGACAATAAAGATGTATCTTATCTTATCTTATCTTTTTCGGACATTTTTAAGGAGAATTCGAACCAGGATTTGATAGAACAATTTGAAAAAAACCCAACTATTTAGCTATCCCCAGCCTAGAAGCTCACACTTCCACGTGTAAGTCAAGTTGGACAGGAGTTAATCAAGCCCAGAAGTCGCCTACTAAGTTTTCTGTGTTCAAAATGTTGCTGTTTGCGCTCCATCGAAGACAAAACAGCCTTTTCTCTTTCCCTTTTTTGCAATTTCTTACTCTTGCGGGATCATTTAGGAGAACAATCTGATCGATTTTCATCAAAATAATTATGAGATCGACTTAGTTATCCCGACTACAGTAGGTTACCAGCAGCTTACATGAAATCAAAGATCAGAGGGTATAGGAACAAAGGTCTGCAAGCAGGCGGTCAAAGGAAGTGAAGATGTCGTTTCAAAGTATAGATTTAATCTGTGACTCTACGATATTGGTGTTTCCGCCGCCATTGACAAGTTGCGATCAATTAGGAAGCTGGCTTCGCCCATGCCTGTGAAGGCTAACCCAGGTTCAGAGCGGATAACCCACAGCTTCCAGAATACTGAATTAGAACAGAAGAAAAAGTATACAAACATGTGCGCCATGTTGAAATATATAGTAGGAAGCAACAGCCGTGGCCCAAGTGATTAGGCTAACGGAGTCGTAACCTTGGGATTGTGGATTCAGGGTTCGAGCCCTGGCTTGGTCTGATGTTGTATCCTTAGGGAAAGGCCCTTTACACGAATTTCTTACCTGACTCGGTCCTTTCGGAGACACATATCTTAAATAACATATTAGTGTTGATAAGGACGTTAAACCCATACCATTTCACCATTTTACCAACAACCATGGCTACAGAATTCATATATTGTGGGAGAGAGGGGGACAGAAAATTGGCATTAGTGAGTTATAAACGCAATAAACAAATGTGTACAGTGAGGTGTTCACTAAAAGACACCATATATATTTTTCATACTCAGCATCTATCCAACAATAGGGACAATGGGAGTCGAGCTGGGGCCTTCAAGAAAGTCGAGAAACTTGCGGTAAAAAACGATCATTTCAGTTTGGGACAAGACTTTCTCCTGGGAAGCAGAATTGATGAGAAGGTAGTGAGGTGTTGTTGACCTATATTGGTTCCACGTCGCTCCGCCTTTTGGAACAGTTGACGTTGGGTTCCCTGTCTTGGCAAAGTTGGTCCACCTTTCCATTATTTGTTGAGATACCTGAATGTCGTCAGCATTAGGTGGACCATTGCCTTTGTCGGTGAACATTTGCTGTCGCACATCAAACAGGAACTGCAACTCATCTCCATGTAGGGCTGACATCCATTGCGGGGCTTTACTGTAACTTGGTCTGTGGTTGAACAGGTACAAGTAATGCTTCTTTTCTGGGGCTTTGCTAACAACTTTTTCCAATTCTACTACCGTTGAACCCTGAAAAGCAGAGACATCTCCGGCGTCCATAGCTTCTCTCCGTAGAACGTCAGGGCTTGACTTATCTTTAAGAAATGTTGTCTCCATTACCTTCTGCAATTTTTCCTGGTCGAGATTGTTAAACTGTACTAGACGAGATCTCAAAACCTGTTTCGCCACCTCCAATGTGACTGGCTTTGGGTTACTTCCAGCGAACGCCGGAATGAATGCTCCCAATTCCTCACTATTATACCCCCTCAGAGTATCTACGTGGCTGAATTGTCCTCTTGACAACAAGGCAGATGGCTTGTCTGGCAGAAAACCAAAAGTTGTTTCTACTCTAGGAACGTGGATCAGATTTGCATCTAAGGCTCCAGTGACTCCAATGGATGCCTTGAGCAATGCATTTGCATCTGCTTGTTGCAAGCAGGACAAAAGTGCAGTTGAATTATTTAAGTCGTTGCAGTTAACGCCCTTGCTTATCAATCTGGCGAGAATGCGAGAAGTTACTCGATTTCCGGGAAATTCGATTGCCCAAGGCGAAAGGGCGGAACCACTTTCCATGATCGCCCTATGGAACAGACCTTTGGCTAGCGGTGACATGGTGAGGAGAGAGACACAAGATGACCCAGCACTTTGTCCAACAATAGTCACCATATTTGGGTCACCTCCAAAAGAAGCAATGTTATTTTTCACCCACTTCAGAGCAGCGACCTGATCCAACATCGCATAGTTTCCAGGCAGAGTGTCATCCTCCGTAGACAAGAATCCAAAAAGATCAAGCCTGTACTCAAAGGTCACAAAGACAACCCCTTTAGCTGCGAGGTAGGAAGCATCATAGGATGCGCCTGACCCAATGATATACCCTCCTCCGTGGATAAACACCATGACGGGCAATGGAGCCTTGCTGGGTCTCTGTGTCGGTGTGTACACGTTAAGGTAGAGACAGTCCTCGCTTTGAGAAGCGTTTGGGTTACGGAAACGATCGTTAAGAATCGTTCCCTGCAGACACTCGTTCCCAAACACCAGGGCGTCTCTGGCACCGGTCCATGAGTCAGGAGCAACAGGGGCCTTAAAGCGGAGGGGTCCTGAAACAGAAACAAAGAGTCACATTGAAGCCTGCATATGACCTCTTTCACTGATAAACCGTGACACCTTAAAATTACGAGATATTCTCATTAAAAGAGGGGAAGTAAATCATGTAATAGATTTTTTCCCACATGGACATTGAGAACTACACAAGTTATCTCCCCGCCGATCTGGCGAGCACTCGTCAGAAACATTGTTGTTAATATTTCATTTTTTTGACTTCTTAATAATACATGTAGATCTACTATGATTTTTGTCTCCAGCTCTGCTGAGCCAGTCTTTGGACAGAAGCAATTTGTTGTCCATCTCAAAAGCTCGTGAAACTTTAAAACCTGCCTTCGAAAATTTGTTTACGTATACTTGGACATTGAGCGCGACTTTTATCTGATGAGCTCTAGCTATTTCGGCGAGTGTCAATGGAAGGCTGGAGTGGTTTTTTCTCCGAGTTTTCTCAAACTGTCGTAAAATTAAAGCATGCTTTGTCTTAAATTATCTGGGTAAATACAGCAATACTTTGTAACTCATGATACTGGGACAGAGTGGTTAGAGAGATTGTGGGTTCGGGGTTTGAGCCTCAGCTCGGTCCGACCTTGTGTTCTTGGGAATGTTCTTTTCACGAATTTCCCATTTGGCTCGGTCTCTTCGGAAAAGGACGTTAAACTCGGAGGTCCCAACTCTTAAATAACCTAATAACGTTGATAGGGCGCTCACTGAGCGTGTACCGTCGTGCTCTCGTTGAACACTTTTCACTTTTAGTTTTACTTTTTAATCCTCTATTTCCCTCAAGCGTCGAGGGGAGATACAGTTGTCTATGGTATGTCAACTCTGCAGCTCTTTTAGTCGTGATACTGTATCTGCACAGAGTTCCTTTGACTCCCTCAATCCACATTTTGTGTGGCCTCATCTTCCCTTGTTACCTGACTGTTTGGTGCTATAGGCTCTTGACGCTAGCTGACTAGGTGGTTTTTGTAACAGGTGCCCTAACCATTTCATTCTTTGCTTTTGTCTTAAATGCGGACACTACTCTGTGGTAAGTATTGCTCTTACACCTTCGTTTCTCTGACTGTCTCTTCTCTTGTGATGTCTAACGTTTTTTAGAGACATTTTATCTCGCAAGCATTTTTTTTTCTCTAATTTTTAATGGGTTCTCTTAATGTCAAGGTCAGGCTCACAGTGAATAGCGCTGTGAACAGTGAATAGGGAATATTGCTGATGGACGTATATGATACTATTCAGGGGAAAAACTTTTTGCTGACGATATAGGGATAGCACAAAGCTGCCTTATGCCTCGAAGCGTCAATAAAATTTGGGTTCCTCAAAATTGCACAGCAGTATAAAGCAGTCAAAAATTCGTGGCCCAACTTATTGTCAAATATCTCATAAATTATCGAACATAAACTCTCCAGCTTTTGCACACTGACTTGGACCAATTTGTCTAAACCGACCAATATTTTAATTTAAAAACTTGTTAGCCCTATTCTAGAAAATTCCTTAATAAATACTGATTAAAAATTCCTAATGGATGGTTTCTACTTATTGTAAAAGGTTTACAGCTGGGACGATGTCATTTTTTAAAAAAATCGCGAGGTTATCCTTATTGAATGCATGTTTTGAGAACTGCAAAAATGTATTTACTATAGAATTAATTTCTTGTAACTAGTTTTGCTACTAAAAAGTGTCATCGGTGAGCTGTGACGTAACCAAAGATGTTATAAATAGAACTATTTATAGTACTATTATTTATAGTGCTATTGTAACCTCTTTGGATGTAACCCATATGCGTATATAAAATTATGAGAGTGAGAAGAGGGAAGTGCTGGGAACAATTATATTTTCCTCGTGAAGGAGGTTTGTAGCATTTTATATAAATTTTAGGAAACAGAAGGACAAACAAACTAACAAGCACAAAATGAAGTCACACGTACGGACATACACATACTACGTGCAGGTGTACACATATTTAGAGACGAACTTACAGTTTTGACTTTGTTTTACTAAGAACTTTACGGCACGTGCAACACAAATTGGTCATCTGAGTTCAGAAGAGAGTGGCATACAAAGAAAAGAAGGACGAGAGATATGGACGACAGATGTTTGATAGGAAAGAAGGAGAAAACCACGCCAGAGCTAAACCCAATTTTCCAAACACATAGAATGACAGGAGAGAAAAAGACAGGTGTGGAGGTGAATGTAGAAAGAATTGTGAAATTGCTGAACTTTACTTTTCCGATCCAGCGGCCATCTGTGGTCTAGCCCTTCGGCCAGACCAAAGTACGGAATAAGAAAGAGAAAATGGAAGGTGGGGGGATACAGAAAGAATGAGAGGCGGTGGGAAGAAAGAGAGAGTGAGAAAGAGAGGGGGATGAAGAGAGAAAGCGAGAGAGAGAGACAGAGGGGGAGAGCGAAAGGGGGGGGGGAGAAACGAGATTTTTAGAATGGGGGATGGTGAAAAAAACGAGGAGTTGAAAGAGCAAAACGTTATGCAGATAGAGTCTCTCTTACCTGTCGGAGGTTTAACGTAGGGGATGCCGGCGAATCTTGCCACCGGGACTGAAGGTCCAGAAACAAGCTGCCCCCTCAGTATACCAGAGGTGGTGTTGGCCAAGAGGAACATGTTATTTGTCCCCGCTTGTCTTGCCTGTTGAGTTCCATTGCTCAAAACCGTTGTGCACAGAGCCTGGAGCAGCCATGCCGTTGCCATTTTGTCCGATAGAAAGACAAGTCTGGAGGCTACGAGCAAAAGAAGACTGTTGATATTTCCTGGAGCTGCTGGCTTATATATATATGTAATATATATATATATAACTATACATATAACTCCAAAGAAAACCCCAAACTGTTTTAATTAAACCTAGAACCCTTCAAGGATTAAGCATGACTTTGATCTTCCACAAATGCACGCAGGGTAGCAGTGACTAAGTAGCCCATAGATTTTGGTGTCTCTTGATCTAGTTTTCCTTTGAAAACAAAACCGTAGGCAGAACTGCCTGATATAATAATACAGCAAATTCATGCTTCGTATAAAGTCATTGCTCTTTATGTCACTAGGGCCTCACTTTTTAACTGTGTCACAGCGAGGTCATTGTCAAGAAGTCTATATTTAGATAGAGACATACAAGACCCATTAATTTTATTTGTTTAGTGCTCACCCATGTGGGGGTTTAAATGGGTGTTTTGTTGTGGGGGGTACATGCTATTACGAGTATTACGCTTTTTTTGGACGTCAAAGGTCAAAATACAATAAGGCACCATTGGGAAATAACATCCCGCTTTTTAATGTATGCCTTCAAATTGAAAATAAGGGCTCCCAAATACTTAAACCATAAAAGTATATTACTCTCGTTGATACTGAGGGGGGCTCTCGTGGCCTAGAGGTTAAGGTGGTGGCCTCTCATTCAAAGGTCCCGGGTTTGAATCCGGGTAGTGATCGAAAATTTTTCTTCTCTACATTTGTCTCCTTTCACCTACTTTCCTGCTCTCTAGCAATGTTCTATCGTCTGCTTTCGTCTCCTCTTTCCGCCCCCACTCCCTCATCTCCTTTGCCACCCTCCTCTGGGCTCCTGATTCTTTCTACAGCCTTTCTACTGCTACTCCTTGGCTCCTTCTTACTGCTCTCTTTCAGCCACACCCCTGATCTTCTGGTAGGAAAGATCTACACCTATCCTTCTCGGACAAGGGCGAAAAATCTCGGAGGTCTGTGTGCAAGTTGCGCACGTTAAAGATCCCTTTGTGGTCTAAAATCGATAAGAGTAGGCTTCGGCCGCCACCCGGGCAAAATGCAAAATTTCCTACCAACTGAAAATGTTGAATGTGTCCCGCGCGACAATATGACCTTATGCAGTTGCGAGCGCCGTTAAACACTTACAGAAAAACACAAAAAACAAAAGTATATTACTCTCGTTGATACTGAGGCCACTCGTGGAGTGTCGTCATAGGTACCTATTTCAGACACAGGCACCCGATTTTTCTGCAGTTCACCCAATATATTATGAACGTTGCAAGTAATGAGTAATATGGACTATGTGAAAGCCACAAGTTGGTGGGGGGGGGGGTGAAAAGTTGTTGTATCTTTTTTTTAATCCCGTGTCCAGATTTTTGTGCCCTTATTTGTTGGTTTCGTAAAATATATTGACATGGTGCAAATTGTTATGTTTTCTAGAAAAACAAAACAAGAAAAAGGGGAATTGTTAAGTCGATGATGATGATGATGATGATGACGATGATGATGATGATGATGATGATGATGATGATGATGATGATGATGATGATGA